CGCGGGCTGCGCGGGAGCGTGTTGGGCCGTTCTTTGGGGTCGTCATGTGCTGTCCTTCGGCGACTTGGGGTCTCCCCCCGGGAAGCTGGGAGGCGCGGTACCGGCCAGATGTCCGGGGATGTGTAGGACCCCCGAGTAGGAGTCCCACTGTAAAAAAAAAGGATTCTGGGGATTCCTTTTTTTTTCCAAATCCTCGATCGTCGAGGGTTGGAAGCGGGAAAACGTGATAAGGCGAAAAACATTGGAACAACCATGCGACATCAACGATTTTACCCTCTTTGGGCTCTCTCGGGACGGCTCCCGCAGTTCTCGTCGGGGTCTTTCTGGGGCCTCTCAAGGATCGGGGGGGTGTTGGGGGCCTCTGGGTGGTCCTGGAGGCCTTTCGGAGGTCTCTGGAAGCCTCCTGCTCCCGCTCTTGGCCCCATCTTGGGCCTGTTCTGGGGTGGTCTGGGGCTGTCCTGGGCGCCTCTTTGGCAGTCTTGGAGCCTTCTTGGCCCGTCTTGGGGCCGTCCTGAGGGTCTCTTGGGTGGTCTGGGGGCGGTCTTGGGAGCCTCGTCGGCGCTGTTGGACCGTTGGAAGATCGAAAACGCGAGAAGCCAAAAACATGTTAAACAAAAACAATGAAAATCTACGATTTTAACCTCTTCGGGCCGTCCCGGGACGCCTCTCGGACCTCTCTTGGGGTCTCTTGGAGGTTACCTGAGAGCCTCGAGAGCCGTCGGAAGGCTGACTTGGGCTGCTTGGGAGCGTTTTGGACAATCCTTTCGCATTCTGGGAGCTCCTGGGAGGCGTCTCGGGCCCTCCTGGAGCGCTGTGGAGGCCCCCCGGAACGCCCTGGGGAGCGGCACCGGGAGCGTTCCCGAGATGTCCCGGGGAGGTGTGGCCCCCGGGGCCGGGGGGGGGCTCTACTGTGGTGCCTCTTGGGGCGTCTTCGGGGCCTCTTTTGGTGTTGGGAAGTGGGCGCTTCTTGGAGCCTCTTGGGGTCTCCTGGGGGCCTGTTGGGCCAAAACGCTCGAATCTTCAGTTCCTCGTCCCCGTCTTGGGCGCCGACTCGGGGCGTTCTTGGACGGTTTGGGCCCCTCGGGGGCCGTCTTAGCCCCCTCGTGGGCTGTCTTGGAGCCCTCTTGGGGGCATTCTCGACAGGCTTAGGTGCCCCCTGGGACGTCTCGGACGCAGTGGAAGCCCAAAAGGCGAACACACAAAACATATCAGACTTTTGCTTATTGGGGCTCTATTGGAGTGCCTCTTGGGGCGTGTTCGGGGACTCTTTTTGTGTATTTGCGGGTCTCTTGGGGGCCTCTTGGGGCTTCTTGGAGTATCTTGGGGTCTCCTGGGGGCCTCTTGGGCCAACTGGCTCGCATTTTCGGTTCCTCGTCCCCGTCTTGGGCGCCGATTTGGAGCGCTGTTGAGCGGTTCAGGCGTCTCGTGGGCCGTCTTGGCCCCCTCGTGGGCCGTCTTGGAGCCCTCTTGGGGGCATCCTCGACCGTCTTGGGTGCCACCTGGGCCGTCTTGGACGCGGTGGAAGCCCAAAAGGCGAACACGCCAAAAAAATCAGTTCTCCTACAGGAAATCGGCGATGTTTGCTTATTTGGGGGTCTATTGGGGTGCCTCTTGGGAGCATCCTGGGGGTCTCTTGGGGGCCTCTTGGGGCCTCTGGGGGGCCTCTTTGGGCCTCCTGGGGACCTCTTGGGCCTCCTGGAGCCTCTGGGGCCGAAAGCTGAGAATTTGAATATGGTTGTGCACCTCTGGGACCCCCTGGGGCTCGTCCTGGGGCTCTCTTGGGGTCGTCTTGGGGCCCTCGTGGGAGCCTGTGGGGCAGTCTTGGGTGCCTCTTGGGCCGTCTTGGAAGCAGTGGAAGCCCAAAAGGCGAACACGCCAAAAATACCAGTTGCTCTGCAGGAAATCAACGATCTTTGCTTATTGGGGCTCTATTGGAGTGCCCCCTGGGGCGTGTTCGGGGGCTCTTTTTGTGTGTTTGCGGGTCTCTTGGGGGCCTCTTGGGGCTTCTGGGGCGCTTCTTGGAGCATCTTGGGGTCTCTTGGGCCAAATGACTCGCATTTTCGGTTCCTCGTCCCGTCTTGGGCGCCGATTTGGAGCGTTGTTGAGCGGTTCAGGCGTCTCGTGGGCCGTCTTGGCCCCCTCGTGGGCCGTCTTGGAGCCCTTTTGGGGGCATCCTCGACCGTCTTGGGTGCCTCTTGGGCCGTCTGGGACGCAGCGGAAGCCCAAAAGGCGAACACGCCAAAAATATCAGTTTTCCTCCAAATCTGACATGTTTGCTGATTTGGGACTCTATTGGGGTGCCTCTGGGGGCGTCATCGGTGCCTCTTTGGGATTTTTTTTCTGGTCTCATGGGGGCCTCGGGCTTCTGGGTTCTTCTTGGAGCCTCTTGGGGTCTCCTGGGGGGCATCTTGGGCCAGAAGGCGCGAATTTCCAGTTCCTCGTCCCCGTCTTGGGCGCCGCCTGGGGGCGTTCTTGGGCGGTTTGGGCGCCTCGTGGGCCGTCCTTGTCCCCTCGTGGGCCGTCTTGGGGCCCTCTTGCGGGCATCCTCGACCCGCTTGGGTGCCTCTTGGGCCGTGTTGGACGCAGTGGACGCCCACAAGGCAAACACGCCAAACATATCAGTTTCCCCATCGTGAGTCGACGATGTTTGCTTATTGGGCCTCTCTCGGGGCGTCTTCGGGGCCTTCGGGGGCCTTGTTGGCGTCATGAGAATCGTTTTGAAAGGCGTCAGGAGCCATCGCTACGGCCTCCTGGGGCCTCCCTGCAGCCTTTTGGGGCCCTGTTGGCCCCGGGTCGCCGACCCCCCGTTTAAAAAAAAAATAATAAAAAAGACAATGACGCCCGGTACCCCCATGCCCTGTCGAGGTCACGGTCACGGGCCCCCGGTCCTCGTCCCCCCACCAGTAATGCTATATAATATATATATATATATATATATATTATCTATATATGTATACATACATTTACAGTTACATATACATATACCTATACATATACATATACATATACATATACATATACATATACATATACCTATACTGATACAGACACATATACATATACATATCTATATACATCCGAATGAGGGGGCCGAACAGTCATTCACTGTCCCTGGGTGCGTGGCTGATGTGGAATTCCGCGGTGCGGATTATCGTTGTTGTTGTTGTTGTTGTTGTGTGTTGTTGTTGTTGTTGTTGTTGTTGTTGTTGTTGTTGTTGTTGTTGTTGTTGTTGTTGTTATTGTTATTGTTGTTGTTGTTGTTGTTGTTGTTGTTGTTGTTGTTTGTTCTTGTTTGTTGTCGTCGTCCCACCCGCAACCCGCCCCGCGACCCACCCGCGACCCACCCCGCGACCCACCCCGCGACCCACCCCGCGACCCACCCCGCGACTCACCCCGCGACCCAACCCGCGACCCGCCCGCGGCCCACCTTGCGACCCACCCGCGACCCACCCGCGACCCACCTACGACCTAACCCCGCGACCCACCCGCGACCCACCCGCGACCCCAACCACGTTCAAGGTACAAACCACCATTTTCGGCGCTTGCGGCGGTTTTTTTTTGCATTCCTTCCAGGTGGAGAGCCCGCGACCCACCCCGTGACCAACTCGCGACCAACCCGCGACCCAAACGCGACCCACCCCGCGACCCAACCCGCGACCCACCCCGCGACCCAACCCGCGGCCCACCCCGCGACCCCCCGCGGCCCACCCCGCGACCCACCCGCGACCTACCCCGCGACCCACCTTCGACCCTAACCACGTTCAAGGTACAAACCACAATTTTCGGCGCCCGCGGCGGGTTTTTTGCATTCCTTCCAAGTGGGGAGCCCGCGACACATCCCGTGACCAACTCGCGACCAGCCCGCGACCCAAACCACGTTCAGGGTACAAGCCGCATTTTTCGGCGCCTGCGGCGGGCATATTTTGCATTCGTTTCAGGTGGAAAGCCCGCGGCCCACCCGCGGCCACGTTCAGGGTACAAACCACATGTTCGGCGCCTGCGGCGGGCATCTTTTGCATTCGTTCCCTGTGGAGAACCCGCGGCCCACCCGCGACCCAAACCTCGTTCCGTGTACCAACCAATCTTTTTGGCGCTTGCGGCGGGCTGCTTTTGCATTCCTTCCAGGTGGAGGTGGAGAGCCCGCGACCCACCCGCGACCTAAACCACGTTCACTGAACAAACCAATGCCGCACAAGCGCGGCGGCGGATTCTTGAATGCCGTCTGAGCCCGCAAGGACCTCTTCACGCCCCGCGCATCCACGCCAGCCCGTCCAGCAACTTTGCCCTGGCGAGTTGCCTTGATCAGAGAAGGCGGGGAGCATAAAGTGGAAAAAAGGATTGCGCTGCAGTTATCTTGGGAAAGGAGGGGGAGGCAGGATGAGTAAACAGGGGACGAGGAGAACGTGGAAGAAGAGAGGATGTAAGGAGAACGTGGAGAAAGAGAAGGAGGAGGAGCAGGAGGACGAGGGGGAGGAGGGGGAGGAGGGGGAGGAGAAGGACGAGGAGGGGGAGGATGGGGAGGATGATGATGATGGACGACAATGGGAAGACGATGATAGAGGCCGATGAGAGGGAGGACGACAATGGGAGGACCATGATGAAAAGACGAGGGGGGGAGAGGGAGGACGAGGAAGAAGAGGAGGAGGAGGACGAGGACGAGGTGGAGGAGGAGGATGACGATGACGATGAGGACGAGGAAGAGGAGGAGGAGAAGGAGGAGGAAGAGGAGGAGAAGGAGAAGGAGGAGGTGGAGGAGAGCGCCATCGACAAGGAAGGTGGGGGCCACGAGGTCCGCCGGCTCGACGACGCCCGCGTCGCCCGCGCCCGCCCCCTCACTCTTATCCGCAAGTGCGGGGTGCTACGTACATACATACATACATACATACATACATACAGACAGACAGACAGACGGACAGACAGACATACATAACTGTATACCACTACAGAGAAACAGGCTGAACTGGCACCAAGGGAGCGCAGAGAGAAGGGCGGGCTGGCACCAGCAGCCCTATCCACACGGCCAGCTTTCGCGCCAATCCTGCACAGGTGTTGGCCGCGGCGCGTGCTACTACCGAACGATGTCAAACAACACAAGTTCGGCGTTGTCGTCATCGTCATAAAACCTGCTGTGACGATCGCGGCTGTGGTCACTAAGCAGGCATCGGCATCATCATCACTGATGATCACCATCACCAGCATCATCAACATCACATCACAATCACCATCCCCATCCCCATCATCACCGTCATCAGCAACATCACCATTATCATCATCATCATCATCATCATCATCATCATCATCATCATCATCATAATCATCGTCATCGTCATCGTCATCGTCATCATCATCATCATCCTCAGCATGGTCAGCATCATCATCATAATCATAATAAGCATCATCATCAGCATCATCATCACCATCACCATCATCATGAGCATCATCATGACCACCATCATCATCAGCATCATCGTCATCATCATCACCACCATCGACGACGACAACAACGGCATCATCATCATCAGCATCATCATCATCATCATCAACATCAGCATCACCATCATCCTCACCATCACCACCACCAACATCACCACCATCAGCATCGCCAGCATCATCATCATCATCATGGGCATCATCATCATCTGTGTCACCAGTGTCATCGTCGTCGTGATCGTCACCAGCGTCCTCATCATGATCGTCGCCAATGCCAACAAGCAAATAGCACCTGGCGGCATCAACGGCCTGATTATGACGTGATGGTGACGGCCACGGCCATCGCAACGACCAAATAACGATTATATCAATCGAGATCAGTAGCATGACAACCGTCTCTATCCTTGCTGTGCCCCCATCTGTCTCATCGGCGTCATGCCCCTCCTAAAGTGTACTCACGAGGGGGCGAAGAGGTAAGGAAGGAAGGAGGAGGTGGGAGGAGAGACAGGGGAAGACGCATCAACGAGATTACAATATACCCTCCCTGCAAGTTCCCTCTGGACATGTCCCTGCAAGGATCTATTTTCATTGCGGGAAGTGCCCCATTGGAAGATAAGTGTCTCAGAATCCCCAATCATGCCAGAACGCCATTCCTAGGACCAACGCCGAGAATAAATCTGACTCTTGGTCCTGACAATCCTCAAGTCTTTAACACCGCGAATCAACGTGACTGTTGCGTCCTGGCAATCCACAATCGTACCAAAACACCATTATTGGGTCGTCTACCATACAAATCCGTGAACATGTTGCAAACTGTTCAAACGAATGTTCGCGGCGCCCACGCGAGAGCTACATTATGAAAGCAAACCGCCCTGCATCCTTGAAGCTGTCGCACACTTTTAAAACGAATGTGCGCGGCGCTACAGCGAGAGCTACATTTCGAACACCAGCCGCCCTCCACCTTTAAAACTGTTGCAAACTTTCGAGACGAATGCGCGCAGAGGTAAGGCGAGAGCCACATTCTGAAAACGGACCGCCCTCCATCCTTGAAGCTGTTGCAAATTCCAAGCTTCAGGATCATGAAGGGAAAGAATAGTCTCAAGAGAAACGCCTGGCCCGCCCCACCAACACATCTGGGGTTGCGACAGGGAAGAGTCGAGGAGGAGGAGGAGGAGGGAGAAGGAAGAAGGAGGAGGAGGAGGAGGAGGGAGGTGTGGATACGGAGGACGGGCAGGGACGATGGGGGCAGGAGGGGGGAGGAGAGGGGGACGAGGGGGGAGCTGAAGTATGAGGGAGAGCATGGGGACAACAGTTTAGAAGCTAAAGAAGGAAAAGAAGGAGACGCAGGAAAAGGAGCAGGATGAGGAGGAGCAGGATGAGGAGGAGCAGGAGGAGAAGCTGGAGCTAAGAGCTGGAGGAGGAGCAGGAGGAGGAGCAGCAGGTGGACAACAGCTTAGTTACTCGGCGCGTGGCGCGCGGGTCGGGGTCCACGATGGCAGCGCCGTCCGCACCGGGGAGGGGGGGTGCGCGCGTGCGCGCAAGAAGAGGCCGCGGCGCCGCGAGCCCAAAAACGCGGAGACCCGGCAGCGCAGAGGGCCGAGCCACATCATCTCAGAGGTCATGCGTTACGATGTTTTCACGTGGCCCCGCTGCCCGGCGGCCTAACAGCCCCGGTTGTCCTCCAGCTTCGGGCAGTGCTGATATCCATATCCGTGGCGTCTTGGATGTTCTTGGGGGAAGGATGCCAAGAGCCAAAGACGCAGTGGACATCGGTAAAGATGGGCAAAGAGCTGGCCTCGCTGGAGGCGGATGTTTGGACAGATCCTTGGCGTCTGCGGATGTCTAGGGAGTGAGGGGCAACCATAGGGAGGGAATGGCGTAGGGGGGGAAACATCGACCTGGAATAGGCGATACACCACCGACAGATCGGCGATGTGCCCCCGATAGCGAATCCGCACGATCCTGGGCGGGATGGGGCCATCAAACCCCTAGCAGCGATCAACGGGCGATTGGGGGTCGCTGCCCCCCACTCCTGCGCCTACAGTGGAGGCCAGTCCACAAGAAACCTTCGACAAGAAACCCAACCCTGAGACCCCAGGACGTCCATTGATCTTTGGCGTGGGAACGCCATTCTTCAACGGCAAAACCATCGAAACCCACGAAACCCAGGGCACCCTGGAGGCAAGCAGGGTGTTTCTTGGCATACGTCTCCACTATATCGGCGATCCATGGGCGATTGGGGGTGGATACCCACCCACCCCCGTGAGACTATCCCCCCCCTGTCGTTACCCTTGAAGGAGGACGAGGAGGAGGAAGAGGAGGGAGGAGGAGGAGGAGGAGGAGGAGGAGGAGGAGGAAGAGGAAGAGGAGGAGCAGGAGGATGAGGAGGAGGAGGAGGAGGAGGAGATGAGGAGGGAGGAGGAAGGAGGTGGGGAGGAGGAGGAAGCGTAAGAGTAAGAGGAGAGGAGGAGGACGGAGGAGGAGGAGAAGGAGGAGGAGGCGGAGGAAAAGAAGAAGCAGCAGGAGGAGGAGGAGGAGGAAAAGAAGCAGGAGGAGGAGGAGGCGGAGGAGGAGGCGAGTCCGAATATTCGAGACCCTTCCCGCCGCGCCACGCGCGATCGAGGCGCCGAGGCCGAGGGCCTCGCACTGCGGTGTGCAGCGCGCGGTGCGCCTGCGCAGCGCAGAGCCGTGCGACTGAACAACGCGGAACGCAGCGCAGAGCGACGCAAAGCAGCGCAGCGCAGTGCCAAGAAACGTCTCCTCCTCCTCCTCCTCCTGCTTTAATTTCCTCCTCCTCTCTGCTCTTCTTTCCCCGCCTCCTCCTCCTTCGCCTCTCATCCTCCTGCGCTTTTCCTCCTCCTCCTCCTCCTGGCTCTTCTTTTCCTCCGCATCCTCCTCATTCTCCTCATCCTCCCTTCCTGCTCTTTTCCTCCTCCTCCTCCTGCTGCTTCTTCTTTCTACGGCCACTCCTCTTCTCCTCCTCCTCCTCCTGCTTCTTTTCCTCCTCCTCCTGCTTCTTTTCCACCTCCTCCTCCTCTCCTCTCCTACTCCTCCCTCCTCCTCCTCCCTCCCTCCCTCCCTCCCCTCCCTCCCTCCCTCCGTCCCCCTCTCCTCCTCCTCTCCTCCTCTCCTCCTCTTCCTCTTCCTCTCATCCTCCTCATCCTCTTCCTCCTCCTTCCTCCTCCCCTCCTCCTCCGCCTCCTGCTTCTTTCCTCCTCCTACTCCTGCTTCTTTTTCCTCCTTCCTCCTGCTTCTTTCCTCCTCCTCCTCCTCCTCCTCTCCCTCCCCTCCTCCTCTGACTCTTTACCTCTTAATTCTTACTCTTACTCTTCCTCCTCCTCCTCGTCCTCCTCCTCGTCCTCCTCTCCTCCCCCTCCTACCCCTCCTCCTCTTTTCCTTCTACCTCCTCCCCTTCTCCTCCTCCTCCTCCTCTCCTCTCCCCTCCTCTCCTCGGCCACCTCCTCCTCCTCTCTCCCCCTCCTCCATCCTCCCTCTCCTCCTCCTCTCCCTCCTCCTCCCTCCTCCCTCCCTCCCCCCGCCCTCCCTCCTCCACTCCCCTCCCTCCTCCCTCCCTCCATCCTTCCTCCTCCTTCCTCCGCCCTTCCTCCTCCTACTCCTCCTACTCTTCCTCCTCCTCTCCTCCTCCTCCTCCTCCTCCTCCTCCTCTCCTCCTCCTCCTCCTCCTCCTCCTCCTCCTCCTCCTCCTCCTCCTCCTCCTCCCCCTCCTTCTACCTCCTCCGCGACGCGACGCAACGCGGCGGTGCGCACAAGCGGGTGGAGGGAGGGGGAGGGCTTCTTAGAAGGAGGCTCCAACCCCGCTCTGCGAGCGGCGACGAGCCGGCTTGACCGGCACTCCGGCGGCGACGGCGGCAGCGACGGGCGGCAACGAGCCGGCAGGACCTGCACTCAGGCCCAGACCTTCGAAGGCAAGTGAGAAGCCCTGAGTGCGAGCACGGTTTGGGAAACAAAATCGGCCCCAGACCTGGACCCTAGACCCGTTCCCTGGGACCAGTTTCTCATCCCGAGCCGTTTTTTGGACCGTCCCTGGGCCCAACAAGGGGGTCCAGGATGCCGAAAATTGCCAAACAGCCCCCGTCGTGCTTTGTTCACAACGCGAGGGGGTCTGGGCACTCAGGGCTCCTCCGAGACGGTGGACGGTGCGATCAGCAGAGAGCGCCGCCGCGCCAGCATGCGATGGCCAGCGACGGGCCGAGCGACGACCAGCCACGCACTCCCAGGCGACTGCCCGTGGCGTTTCAAGCGAGCCGAGAAGGCAGCCGCGAGAGGGCCAGGCTTGACGCCAAATGGCTGGATACGTACAGAGCCTCCTCCTCCTCCTCCTCCTCCTCCTCCTCCTCCTCCTCCTCCCCCTCATCCTCCTGCTCCTCCTGCTCCTCCTGCTCCTCCTCCTCCTCCTCCTCCTCCTCCTGCTCCTCCTGCTCCTCCTCCTCCTCCTCCTCCTCCTCCTCCTCCTCCTCCTCCTCCTACCTCCAGCGCCCCAGGGGTCCTGGCAGGTTCCTCTCCAGCCCGGAGCGCCAGAGCGCCTCGCACAGCCCCGGGGCGCAGAGTA